TATATTGCTTTAAGATTTCAGAGATATAATTAGATTGGCTGACTGTAATTGCTCCAGTTTCCCCTTTGCGCTGAAATGTCATTCCTAAAAAATGYTTCAGTGGTCCTTTAWCAATTACTTTAAATTCATTTCSAATTTTCTTCTTGATTTCAATTAAATCTGCTTTATTGGTTGAAGCAAGCATAATGTCATCAACATAAACAGCAATTATATTAAAACACCCCTTTGAATGTTTCGTGTAAACACAAGGTTCACTTGGACGTGACGAAAAACCAATTTTTTTCAAAATGAAATCGAGTTTTGAATTCCATTCTTTTCCTGATTGTTTGAGTGCATATAACGATTTGTGAAGTTTAAGAACACGATTTGGGAAAATTTTATATACAAAATACTCTGTTTGTTCCATATAAAATGTGTCATGAAGTTCCCCATTTAAATAAGCTGTTGCAACGTCCATTTGGTGTAAATGCATTTGGTGCTCTACTGCTAATGCAATTATCATCCTAAGAGTTTCGTAGCGTACCACTGGTGAAAAAGTTTCTTTGTAATTTATACCGTATTGCTGACTGCAACCCTTTGCTTCTAACCTTGTATTAAAACGTTCAATATTACCATCAACATCTCGCTTCACAGAAAAATCCCATTTACATCCGACAACTTTTTGACATGAAGGTAATTCTTTCAACGTCCATGTGTTATTGCCTATCAACGCCTCATATTCAACTTGCTTGGCTTTCTTCCATTCTGCAGAATATTCGCTGAGTAATGCTTCTCCAACAGTTTCAGGTATCTTTATGCTGTTATTCATTGAATTCAATATATTATGTTGCTTTCTAGGACGACCAACCCTGCCAGTTCGGATTATTTTTGGCCTTCCTCTTCCTCTTGTATTAGATTTCTCATTATTTATCATATTAATAGGATCTACTTCATCTTTATCATCTTTTGTTATCAGAATATTGCTGGTATCTACTTGCTCTACTCCTCCAGCGAGATTCTCTATATGCTTTGTGTCAGTTACTGCTTCGTCATTATTTGTTTTGGGTATTAATTCGCTCGCGTCTACATTGTCACTGACTTCATTAATTTTCTGAGAGTTTCAATGAATATAACATCTCTACCTGTGAATTTGCGTGTTATTGGGTCATATAAACGATATGCCTTGGCCTTTTCTGCATATCCAACCATAATATATTATTTACCTTTAGGTCGAAACTTATTAATTTCTTTCTTATTTAGAGCAATAGCTAATGATCCAAAAGTTTTTAGAAAATGAACCATTGGTTTTCTTCCTAACCAAGCTTCGTAAGGAGTTTTATTTACTAGAATCTTTGTTGGAGATCTATTGCGTAAAAATACAGCGGTAGAAATTGCCTCTGCCCAAAAGCTTTCATCCTTTCCTCTATGACACAGTTACAGTTAGTTGCGATTTGCGCGCTCAGCTACACCATTTTGTTGAGGTGAATATCGTACAGTAAGTTCACGCTTAATACCGTACATATTTTAGTAATTGTCGAAATCTTAATTTAAAAATTCACGCCCATTGTCGCTGCGAAWAGCTTTTATTCTTTTCCCAGGAAATATACGAACATGTACCTCGATTTGTCATCGATAAGGGTTAGAAAATATTTTGAACCAAGAATTGATGTTTTATTAATTGGACCGCAAACATCCGTATGGATTAACTCAAGAACATCTTTAGATACTGAGTTGGACATACTTGGAAATGGTTTCGTACATATGTATTTTGCTTTTCATGCTCGTAATGCGTTCATTGTATTGTGAAATATTGATAGCTTTCATACCATGTACTAACTCTCTATTAGACAATTCATGTAGACTTTTAAAATTCAAATGACCATACCTGTTATGCCATTTCGTTATTTCATTAGCGTTAGAATAAAAACATGAATTCGGTGCTTTTCCAAAAATGAACAAATTATTGCGTTTGTGCGCCTTCAGTAAATTTTTACCTGCAACATTTTTGATAACGCACAATTTCTTATTAAACGAAATTGTACACCCTATGCTCGAAGCCTTTCCAATGGATATAAAATTTGATTGTATTTCTGGGATGTACAGAACATTCCTCATGATAACATCTTCGTTTCCTGATCGTAGGATCACAGTCCCAATACCTTGCACTTCGATAAAATGTTCACCCGCTAAACTCACCTTTTCAGTATGATTCTGAAACGTATGAAACAAACTGCGCTCACAACACATATGTGATGTCGCTCCACTGTCCTCGCACCATGTCGAACGGTTAAATTCTTGTACACCAGATGCTGCGAGTACACTCCCAATAGCAATCTGAGTTTGCTGCCTAGAAGCTCTGCATTGTGCAGCCAGATGACCTCTATTCCCACAAATATAGCATTTAACGTTAGATTGCTTCGTTACCGAATTTGAAGCATATCCTTTACGAGTATTTCTGTTAAGATTTTTGTGCGCACTTATATTTTTCCTGAAGTTCGTCCTTGCCGAAAACGCCTGTTGATTCTCGATAATTTCAACATCTGCATCCTTCTCCTGACGACGTTCACCTTCTTCAAGTAATTTAATTTTCAACGCATTTATTGATGGTAAATTATCACGTGTTTCTATAGCAACCACGAAATTTTCATATGACTGCGGTAAACTTGATAGCAGAATAATGACTAACATTTCCTCTGGTGCTACTGACAAACTAAGATAAAGAATTTTCTTGAAAAGAGTAACTTTTCGAGCTGGTCCACTTGGCTGGTAGATCTCTTGTTATTTCCTCCAGGCCTCTAGTGAAGTAGAGCAGTGTCTAATATAATTTCACTGCGATGGCTTGACACAAAGCGTAATACTCGCAAGCGCCTTCTCATCTTTTGCATCGAACGCAGCTGATTCTTCGTTCTTCACATGCTTACCAGATACGATTCCCCATAAATCGGCACGAATAAGAGCACTTTTCATGTRGACTGACCACGACGAATAATTTGTGTCATCAAGCTTATCAATGGAACACAACCCCGAAGTAGCCATTGTTAGTTGTTAGTTGYGTAAAATTTTTTTTTCGCTAAACGTTTGATTGGTTACGCATATCGTTTACGTATGTATATCGTTTACCTTTTCTAAGTCTCATAATCTGTTAAAGTTTATAATTTAGATGTAGAAACGTTTTATTCGTAAGAATCATTTATTCAGACTGGCAAGAAATTTTYTTTATAAGACAAATCACAAGAAGAATACAATGATTAGAATATAATAATTACAAGTAGTTTGTGTTGCAAGTACTTTCAACAATACTCATTTACTCATAATTTCGTAAATTTTKATTTAATTGACTCGAAATTTTGACACAATATTATCCAGATATTATGCATTCAATTTGAAAAAAAAAATTAAGAAATATAATTTAATACTTTACCCCCTCTTACGGGACATCTCGACAGGATATAATTTATAGAATACTTCCTGCATTGCCGTGCCGATTGCCTGTAGAGTCTCCACATTGCTCATAGCTTACTATATATAGAATACTATCTAGTTTGCCATATATCGTAAGCTATGAGCTGTCACTTCAACCGTTTGGCAGCGCAGTTTTCATTTCTATGAAGATTTCGAARAGGCAACATATAACAGTGTTAAGACGGTTGTGTTATATTATAAAAATAAAGTACATTTTAGAAATAATATTTTTCCAAAAAATTAATATTGTTAATTTACAGAAGAATTATGCAAATTGGGCTGGGAATGAGCGAAGTCTTAAATTTAATAAACTTTTACAAGCATAAATCCAAATATCACTGATCTTTTTAAGTTTATTACTTTAATTGATATGTTAAATGTATGCCACAGCTATTATATAGTAGTCCAAAAATATGAATTATTTTTTCCCAGGAATACATTTGTAAAAAAAGGATATTTCTCCTTTTCTTATTATCTTAGTTTTCGCAGAAATACATTTGTAAAAAAAAAAAGTAATCCTCAGTATTTCCTCATAAAAGATTTAAACAGTTCAAGAGCTCAAAACATGCGCTACATCAGCTACCTACCCGCCGGCATTTCGCAATGTGGTAAAATAAATTTTTCAAGAGCTCAAAGCATGCGTCACATCAGGTCGAACCTACCTACCCTACGCCTTTGCGCAAATGATTATATCRTGATAGTAAATGMSCACATACAGATTTGGCAATGGCAATAGCRATACGTTTGACAGTTAGTATTCTATAAATTCTATCCTGTCGAAATGCCCCGTTAACGATTGGTAGTTTGCGTTCGAATGACGATTCGAACGAACGGATACGTTTATATACTCGTTCACSTACATATGTCATCATGCCAGATTACRAGAGGGGTTACGAACGAYCACGTATGTCATAATACGAAATACAGGCTTGTAACGATTGGACCCCAGACGTTATACCAAAGTGAATCATGACAAGATGAAATGGCAAAACTTACTGAACACACCAACAATATTTGATACTTAACGGTGAACAAACGTGACCGCCACGAACTCTCACAATTGCGTCGTTGTTATTGTTGTTCTAGCGGCACAATTCTGCCGAGTTGACAGTCCTTGGCCAGATAAAAAATCTGGCTCCGTTCCGGTTACGTAGACCCAACTGTCAACTCAGTAGAATTCCGATACAATAACAACTAAATCCTTTTATAGTTTCTTCTACAGTRGTCATTTCAGGAGGATTTCAAGCATTATCGTACCGTTTATATTCCCACAAATYTTTTGCAAAGGTTCGCACAACTTTTAAACAAACTTTTTTTAAGTGTCACTGTTCGAATCCTTGAAGATTCAAGTTGTCGAACTATTGTTATTGTTATAGCGGTAGAGAACACTTACCAATATTTTTTAAACATGTTAGAGACCTACCGCTACGTAAAATTTAAGGTCTGGTCTCATGGGYAAGGCGATCTATCTGTTCGAAGTTAAACATTTCCACTTCCATACCGATTCGATTTACGATTTATTTTAACTCATTTAAATGAAACTGTATCCTGTACAAAACTTTACATAAAAGAACTCCTTTACTAATAAGTCTGATAATTTCAGTTAAAACAAAACTTAAAGCGAYAACTGAACATGAAATGTAAAAATAAATTAATAAGCAATTCAATGACTGGAATATCTTATGTTTAAAATGTCATTACCAACTCTTCTTATGATTGCCGTTCGCATATTTCGAGGAGCTATGCTCGAATTCCTTGGCAGAACATGGACTAAGTGGAGGTTTTAGAGGTGTCGATGATTTGATATTTTCATCTAAGTCCCAATTTTCCTCCTCAGAGTCCGAGCAACGAGGCTGGCGTTTTACAGGCGATAACGATGAACGAGTTGGTGCAGCATTAGATGCATAGGGCACCTTGAGGCCGCAGTGTCGTCGAGGTGGTACCGATGGTAAAGGAGCACGGTATGGTGAAGGTTTTGAGCGACGTAAATACGGTTGCGGCATTTGTGGAGACTCATTCGTTGCGACCCGAGGCGAATCAATATAGCAGCTTATGAATGATGCAGATGGTTGATATGTTKTAGGTGAGGTAGAAAAATTTGTCGCTGGCGAAGTAAAAGAGCGCATTTGTTGTTGTACTGCGACGGACTGTGGCTCAACCGGTTGTATGAAACTGTATGTAGCATTAACAACGGACGCACAGCCATATGATCGACCCCCATAACTTGACATATTTTTCTTTTCATAAATAACACCGTTAACATCAACGAAAAGTCCAAGGTTTTCCAAAATTTCCAACAACTCTCCGGCACAATAAATTTTGAATATGTCGAAAACGGCATACGGATCACTCAAACGAATTTTTTGAAAATTATTGATAGCGCGCACCAATATCGAAATAGTTTGATTTATTTGTATTTTCATAGTAGACATAAGGGACTGATACCATGGGGAACGCTGCAAGCAACCATACAGAAGCATATTGGGCGTTGGCTGAGATAAGTCTTGGTTATGTTGTTTTAAAAATGTCTCCGCATTGTAAACACTACTCGAACGTCGGGGATCGCTTTGAACCCCTTTATTGATGCCACAAAATGTTGCCGAAGAGTGCAAAGTACTGTTTTCCTGATTAATTGAAATAAAGTATATAATATTTGGAATTATATATATATACTACATAATCGTACCTTTTTTAAGAACTTCAACAGTCTGGGATCCGCGGTATTAGAACGCAATAATATATCTAAATTATCTGGTTTGTTTATGGAAATATTTGATACATCAATTTCCTTCACCTAGAAGTAAAGCAATTAATGCACAATATCATTTAACAGAAATTACACCTACCAAATAAAGAATTCCTGTACAGTAACCATTGATTTCCAAAGCTGGTTTATAATCATTGGCGAAGAAATTTGCCTTTGTTGGACTTATAATTTCATTAGATATGGGTGACAAGGGGGTATTGGAAGTTGTTACCACCGTGCCTGTGTCATAGGAACTAAATTTATCACTTTCATCRTTTGTCTTTGCGCCGAACTCAATTCGTCGCTTTGCTGACATTATTGGTCCTTCAAATTTATCTATTTCAATAATTTATGTTAAAAAATGGTTTCGATTTGAAGTTCGTTTATATTAAGTCATACCTTCGCACTGCGAACTAAGTGATACATTGCTTCCTAAATCATTAGCACTAGTATCTAAATCATTAGTCAGCACTGGAACCTTTAAAGGTATGTCTTGATCGCAAACTTTTTGATTGTTAAATTTTATCGACTCATCTAATACAACACCACTATCTTCAAACTTCACAATTTCGGTTTTCTTTGACGCAAGTAGGGGAGACTCTAGCGAAGGAATCTTTGACATAAGTACAAATCTGTCTTCCACCGCTTTAGATTGGCGATCGGCGACGCATTCTTTCTTAACATGGGGCACTTCGGAAATATGTACGTCTGCATTTTCTGACATATCTGAAAGATATCCTCGTATTTAGCGAATTGTCCCAATAGTTTTTGTAAATAATTTACCGATTTTCTCTTGGTATGTGTTAGTTTTACTCTCCATTAAATTCATAACATTCATATTACGTTTCTTTGCTTTTTTTTGGACCGGTGCCGACCTAGCTKTGTTAGCTTCAGCTACATCGACTACAGGTTTCACTTCGCATTCATTGGAAAAAGTAAGATCAAGATTGGTCGTACTGTCGGCATCCACATTAAATTTCTGCTTCCTTAACGGAGTTGGTAATTTTCTGATCATAACTGTCGGTTGTAGATTTGGATTTGTTGGTGTCGCTGAAATAGGAGTGCCAAGTYTTACTCGTTATATTCCGGCAACATGTTGCTACAGGGTGGTATAATAGTTTTGTTCACCTATCTCTTATTTGTATCACCTCAAAATGGTCGAGATAGATGTGCAGTTATGTATGTATATATATAAATGAATGAGGCGATCAGACGAATGTCTTGAGACAAAAGAAAAAGTGAGGACGAATTCGTAAAAGAGCATGATCCGACCACTACCACAGCCACAAAACGTCATTAAAGGAATACCTTTAAAGTGCCATAACTAAGCACTACATTAAGATTTAGATTTGTAATTTGATCGAGGCAGCATGTGGCATCTGTGCGAGACGGAARCTTTTAAAGGAGMCGGGGTCAAAATAGGATAAAGGGCAGGGCATTTTAATAAAACCACATATTCTTTGACACACTTATGTGTTTCCCATTATAAAATGGCCGAAATCYGGCTATAACACGCCTAATTGCGAAAAAACACAATTTTGAATTTAAATTAATTCTTTCACTTTGACATGCGCCATTGAGTAGCGTTTGGCGTTCCTAACACCACTCATCTTTGATCAATAACTATGTGAAACCAAAGTATTGTAGTAAGTAGTAAACTTCTACACACAGTAAAGACTCTAACAAACATTTCCTAYATGATACTATTTTGCATGCACCACCTACTCAGACCGCTATGAAACGGATCACCGAAAACATTTACTCCTACTGATTGATTGTGTTTAAGTTTACTTTGGAGTGTCTTACTAGTTGTTGTGACGTCTTCTTCGGTTACAGCTGTTTTAACTGTATCCTTTTTATTACGTATATTATCCAATATCCTGTGCTCTTTTTCATTCAATTCCGTAATAATTTCAGTTAACTCCGATCGTACTTCTTTTAGGGCAGCTCGTGATTGAGGMACTTTGACACTGCGAATTTGTGTAAAACATTCCTGAATGGCTTCGAAGCTGCGTTCTTCTTTAATATTTGATATGTTTTTATTCTACAAAAATTTAATATTTCATATTTCATTTAATCTGATATTACTATAAAGTATGTATTACCTCATAAATAGTGGGGAGGCTTTCGTCTATTACTAATGGTTTCTCATCATCATCGTCATTTGCKTCCAATTTGTCCAATTCCTCTGCTATAGCTTTTAATGGCTGCACTTCTTTGGGATTTTTTTTGTCCCGCATTTCACTTTTTACTAAAGCTATAAGTAACTGTAATTGTTTRTTACTGAGTTTTAATTCAAGCAATTTCCCAAATGGTATGTTCAACAATTGTTGAATACTTTTAACATTAAATTCAGATAATTTTTCTATCTGTTGATTCTTCAAAAAGCTTAAATCTTTTCGAAATTGTAAGATTAATGGYTTAGAAATTGTCTTCAATGGTATTTTAATTTCTGGAGCTATATTGATCTGATCCGTTGCAATTTTTGCATTGTCCTTCAGGCAATTTTTCATATCCACTATCACTGCAAAACAAATTAATACATATTGCTTCCATTTTACACTTTATTCTCAAAAATTATTTATTTACATAATAAAAAAATAACTAATTTCGAATTGGCTATCGACGTAGGTAAATATGGTAAACAAAATATAGAATAAGTTTTTTGCATTACTTTTTTTATTAAATACGTGTTTTCAAGAAATATTTTTGAAATCGGGCATACAAATTTCTGCATTTCAAGTTTATACACTTGATCTCCTTTTTCCCCCAAATTTTTCTTTTGCACGGATTTTATTTCAAGGTTATTTATACCCCACCCCTCCTATTCACCTTTTTTGTCCGTGTTTTTCATTTTAATTATATACTTTTTTCTTTTTTGTAATAAACTATATTTCATACGTAACTACAGATTCATTTTAGTTATCGAGTATACGAGTTTGAAATTGGCGACGGAACTAGAAGATAATTTCCTAAATTTGAAATTTTATATTATTTTGTCCTTTCCAAAAATCATATATGTATAATACCACGTAAATTCTCATGGTACGTTTTTCTTTTTTTGCACGAATATTTTTTAAATTGGGTCCTAATAGTGAATTTTATAAGAAAATCTGTTTTTGCGATTTTTTTCACGAGGAAAAAAGAGATCAAATGTATACATAGTTGCATTTAATATCATAATATYTCCACAGCGAAATACGTCCTTCTAACAAAAGTAGGTAGGAAAAGTATCTTATCGTTAATTAATAATAATTAAAATATTAATTGTCATAAATTCCTTACCTTCCTTATTTTCTGTTGTACTCTCACATACAACCCCAATAGAAACACCCATAGGACTGAATAATGCAGAAGTTGTTGATATCTTCCTAGAGTGGGACGTAGCAATACCTCCAGGGGTTTCTACCGATATTCCACCACTTTGTTCAACGGACATTGTCACAATAACTCCTCTACTACGTTGTAATTTGCCCTTCGCGTCTACATTAGGTGGGCCTTTTTTGCATATTTGTGCATTTTTCCGCGCCCGCAATTTCTTCACAATTTCGCCACCTACGACCTTATCGACTTTTGAACTAGCAGGCATTGTTTAGGTTCAAACTTTTCAAATATATTTAATAAACCTAGGTAATTAATAATCCGAACAATTGTAAAATGACGCCAATTTTTCCCAAAAAGTAACGGTTCGTTTGCAAAAATATTTAGGGATTAAAAATGTCAATCGATAATTTAATTTTTGGGATATTAATCGAGATTTAACAAGTGACTAAAAGTCTCCAAAATTCATACAACTCATTAAAAGGGTCACAAACAACATCTATGAACACACTTCGATCGTGTGTGGTGAAAAGGCATACTTTAAAAACAAATTAGGGAAATTCTCTTGCTGTTGCAAGATTGCATATTGCAAGAATAGTATACCGAAATATACGTACGAGAGCACCCATTGCAGAATCTTTTGATATATGAACGGCTCATTCGGTCAATTTATTGTAAATGACTATTGTGTATGGCTATTGTGAATTGGCGCACCTTCTGCATTCMTTCTTAATGAAAAAAATGTAAGAAATCTTTATAATTTAAGTAAAAATTATAAAATCTATTTAAAATTTACCTTACCCAACAATTTAACGTMAAAATATGTATTTAAGTAAAATGAAAGCTAACACAGAGCTGCATTTACGCGAAAATAAACATGGGTTCCGGTCTGACTAATTTTACAGTCATTGCAAATAATTTTCTGCGTATGTTTGTTGTTGTGTCGGTGCACCAAGAAGAAATATCTGCAATTCGTGCAGCGTGCAAGCTTTTTGCAAGAGCAAAAGAATACCCCTATTATGAATTTTATTTACAATATGGAGATTCGAACACGCGTTACTGTGAACATRGAATTCATTAAAGAAAGGTAATAAGTAATTTTAATGTAAAATAAATATTTTTCAATCAGAATTTGYTTTAATATACCAATTTTTATTATAATAAAAATCGGTAACGGTATTTTTTTTTCTTATATATATATATATAACCAATCATATGTCACGAAAATCGATAAGTATAACAATCCACTCAGCAAGTCACGGTTATCAAAACTAGCATACGTTTATAGAATTTGCTAGGAAACTAACTGGTGTACCTAAATAAACAAATTCAGCGACGTGTTTTTTACTGCTCARATAAGAATTCTAATAACTAATGTGTTACATATTTCCTCTCATTGGGGTATTATTTGTTTTCTTTATTTCTTTTGGTTCTTCTGTAAAATATGAACGTAAGGTAGAATGCAAATCTTTTGTTATTGTACGAACAAAAATAAATGAACAAAAGTTAAATGTTGAATAAAAGTTATTTTTGCACTATTTAATATAAAATAAATGGTTAGAAATGATTTAGTGAAGTGTTAGTGGGAAAAACACGCATTTTAAATAGTTGAATTTTTGAACTTTAAATGCAAATATCTCAAAAACCATAAGTYAGCGGCAACTATATGCACATATATTATATATTCTTGAGGTCCTCCTCTATCCGTACATACCCATTTCAACCCCGAAATCCGGGGATGCTATTCTAAAATTTACCCATAAATTCAATCYTTCGAAGCTGATTCCCTTATTAGRCCCATGGAAATAAAGCTACACTATGGAGAAATATTATTAAAGTGAAGAAAAATTTAAAAATCACATGTGATCAAAAATCAAAATAACTCTAAAAACAACTAATCCTAGACAAAAACCTTTCGATTATATTACATTTTTTGATTCATACATTTCGCTGTCACATCTGGCGCCAAAAACTGTTTCGCGTGCTAATATTAGCAGAAAGTAGTAAACTTCGAATTGTTTGCATTGGGTAGTCAACATTAAATATAATTTCGTTATATATAATTATAAATAAAAGCAATGGCGGTAATTAATTATAATCGTTAGCATTACATTCCTTAATATATGTATTTTGCAGGATCAAGTGAGTTCTCCTCCTCCAGCGACGCCTAGCGATGTTGACGACCGACGTGAATTGCGTGCTGCTATGACTTCGCCCGTTGGTGATTTTGAACCATTCGAAAATGAAGATGAAATCCTTGGAGATCAAACTATACGAAATGAAGAGGAGGAAGATGGTGAGGAATTGTTCGGGGATAACATGGAGAACGACTATCGTCCTATGCCAGAGTTGGACCACTACGATCCCGCAATGTTGGACGACGATGAGGATTTCTCAGAGTTGTCTCAAGGCGAGCGACACGCAGCTGAAGCTGAAATGCGAAAGCGTGATCGCGCTCTAGGTATACATCGGGATGACCGTGATCTGGGTTTTGATCACAGTGATGACGACGACGATGTCGGTCCACGCGCGAARCGCCGAGCAGCAGAAAAAGCAACCGAAGGCGAAATGGAGGATGCAGAAATGATAGAATCCATAGAAAAYTTGGAAGACACAAAAGGACATTCTACAAAGGAGTGGGTCAGCATGCTTGGACCTCGCACGGAAATTGCTAATCGTTTTCAGTCTTTTTTGCGCACATTTGTTGACGAGCGTGGTACTTACACATACAGGGATCGTATTCGTCGGATGTGCGAGCAAAATAAGTCSTCATTTGTGGTGTCTTATACGGATTTAGCTAATAAGGAACACGTATTGGCATATTTCCTACCTGAAGCTCCTTTTCAAATGCTAGAAATATTCGACAAAGTTGCAAAAGAAATGGTTCTRTCTATTTTCCCTACTTACGAACGAGTCACAACTGAAATTCATGTCCGCATATCAGAGTTACCTCTTATAGAAGAATTACGTACCTTCCGTAAACTACATTTGAATCAGCTTGTGCGTACTTTGGGTGTGGTTACTGCAACAACTGGAGTGTTACCTCAGCTTTCAGTTATTAAATATGATTGTGTAAAATGTGGTTACGTTTTAGGACCATTTGTACAATCACAAAACACCGAAGTTAAACCGGGATCTTGCCCAGAGTGTCAAAGTGCTGGACCATTTGCGGTAAGCTATTAGTTGAGTTTTTCTCCGAATATTATGTATACTACTTCCTTAATTTAATTAGATCAATATGGAGCAAACGCTTTATCGCAATTACCAGAAGATTACTTTGCAAGAATCTCCTGGTCGCATTCCCGCTGGYCGGATACCGAGAAGCAAGGACGTGATTCTTTTGGCGGATCTCTGCGATTTGTGTAAACCAGGCGATGAATTGGAGGTTACTGGTATTTACACCAACAATTATGATGGTTCTTTGAACACAGAACAAGGGTTTCCAGTTTTCGCTACTGTTATTATAGCAAATCACATTGTAGTAAAGGACAGTAAGCAAGTCGTACAGTCCCTTACAGATGAGGATATAGCAACTATTCAGAAACTAAGCAAAGATCCGAGAATCGCAGAAAGAATTATCGCTTCAATGGCTCCTTCCATATATGGACATGAATATATTAAACGTGCTCTAGCCTTGGCACTATTCGGTGGAGAGTCTAAAAACCCTGGTGACAAGCACAAAGTTAGAGGTGATATAAATTTGCTCATATGCGGAGATCCCGGAACAGCAAAATCACAATTTTTGAAATACACCGAAAAGATAGCACCTCGAGCTGTTTTCACAACTGGTCAAGGTGCCAGTGCTGTAGGTTTGACTGCCTACGTTCGTCGGAATCCAATATCACGTGAGTGGACTTTAGAAGCAGGGGCTTTAGTGCTGGCCGATCAAGGCGTATGTCTTATTGACGAGTTTGATAAAATGAATGACCAAGATCGAACATCCATTCATGAAGCCATGGAACAGCAGTCAATCTCAATATCAAAAGCTGGTATTGTAACCTCTTTACAAGCGCGCTGTACAGTCATAGCAGCTTCCAATCCAATCGGCGGTCGATATGATCCGTCGATGACCTTTTCGGAAAATGTTAATCTTTCAGAACCAATCCTCTCACGTTTCGACATACTTTGTGTAGTTAAAGACGAGTTCGATCCGATGCAAGATCAACATCTGGCTAAGTTTGTAGTAAATTCGCATATCAAACACCATCCATCAAGTGAGGAGTATGTAGAAGATTCCCAGCCAACGGGAGTGGCTGAAATACCACAAGATCTTTTGCGTCAGTATATTATTTATGCCAAGGAAAATGTGCGCCCTAAACTCACGGTTAGTAAAGAGAAATTACATAAAACTAATTTCGTTGTTAAATTCAAATTTTTATATTATTTYATAGAATATTGATGAGGATAAAATAGCCAAGATGTATGCACAACTTCGCCAAGAGTCTTTTGCTACMGGTTCGTTGCCAATAACTGTAAGACATATAGAAAGCGTAATCCGCATGTCGGAAGCACATGCTCGTATGCATTTGCGCGAGAATGTTACTGAGGCTGATGTTAGCATGTCTATACGCATGATGTTGGAGAGCTTCATCGAAGCCCAAAAGTTCAGTGTAATGAAGAAAATGCGCACAGCATTCCAAAAGTATCTTTCCTTCCAAAAGGATCACTCAGAATTGCTCTTCTTTATTCTTCGACAATTAACACTCGACCAACTAGCCTATATTCGATGTAAAGAGGGACCTTCGGCAACGCATGTGGAAATAATGGAACGCGATCTCATTGAGCGGGCCAAACAGTTGGACATTTTTAATTTAAAACCGTTCTATGATTCTGAAATTTTCAAACAAAATGGGTTCACCTATGACCCTAAACGGCGAACAATTCTACAGATAGTCACAGAAGCCGCTGTGTAATCATTCCCATTTCAATCATGTTTGTTATACTTTTAATGACTTTACGTTCTGTTTCATCGTACCATGTTTGGCAYCTTTGGGTCCATTATTATTTTAATRCATAGTTTTTAATATTACATGTATCCAGCGAAAAACTCGCACTTCAAGTACAACTATCAATAAAGTTACATATTTTACAAAGTAAATTGTAAAACTTTATTTATTTAGTAACAGATTTGCACATAGAAAAGAGGTATGCACGTGCAAATTATATTGATGTGCGTTTAATTCTCAATACCCATTTCTTTATCGAAATCCTCCTCAGAAATTTTATTTCTTTTCAGCTTCTTAAATAGGCGTATATCGTTAGCTAGTTCATCTAAATCTTCTTGTGTATATTGGGGCTTCCTTTTCTTTGTTTTATCGCCTGGCGCTCCGTTTTCGATTTTTCGCTGCTTCTTAGCTT